TAGGCCAGTGTTGTTTCCTACGACTCTTCCTCCTTCCTGACATAGAGAGTTAATAGCTTCCAGAATTCAGAGACATCCACAGGACTGACATAAACACCTCTCATGGTTTGACACTGGCTGAACGCCAGGCACCCAAGAGAGCTGCTTGCTCACCCTGGCCTGCAACAGCTGGGCAGAGGAAAGAGAAAAATTTAACAAAGGGTTCATCAATTGAGATAAGGACCAGGAGAAAACGCTTCAAGGGCAAAACAGGCTCAGCTTAGAGGTACAAAGTGAGTTTATTGCTAACAAAATCAGATGACAATGAGAAGTAAAAGAAGCCTTTAAAGAGCACCTTTTACCCCCAACCCCTCCCTCCTTCCCACTGACAGGGCAGGGAGACAGGGCGTGGGGGTTTTGGTCAGTTCATCACCCCAGGTTTTCTTCTGCTGCTCAGGGGGAGAAATCCTTCCCATGTGAGGCCGTGGGGTCCCTCCCACAGGACACAGCTCCCTGTGAACTTCCCCAGCAGGGTTCCAATCCACGAGCAGCATTCCTCCCAAACTGCTGAGAGTCCCTCCCATGGGCAGACAGTCCTCCCAAACTGCTGCAGTGTAGTCACTCTTCCACGGGGTGCAGTCCTCCAAGGACAGGCTGCTCCAGCCTGGGAGCAGGGCCTCCTCTCTCCACAGAGTCTCCCCTGGACCACAGCCTCCTCCAGCCTCAAATTTTAAGATAGTAATGATTTTTTTAAAAATTAATCATTTCTGTGAAGAATAAGTTATTTATATACTAGAACAAAGAGTCACAATTAAAATAGTGGTATAAAATATTTTTTATATTTTGGGTCAGATATTAAAAAAAAATTGGGCAGCTGGGTCAGATATTTAAAAAAAATCTGTAAAGAAGCTTCATTTTTAGATATATTTTATTGCAGTCTACACATACAATGCTTTCTAGCAAGCACTGGCAGTTCCACAAACTATCACAAAGTGTATGAAAACTCTTGATTTGAGGAACATGGCTAATAATTATGGTACCAACTAGTGACTAAATTTTCGTTTTCCCCCGTTAAAAATACATCTATGACCCAGAAATCCTCAAGTCCTTCTCCTTTATAACACCAAATGTTAAAGAAGTAAAAACTGACAAACAACTGCATACAGTAAGTATTAGCTCATTCTTCAAGTCTCCATTCATATTAGCTCTTTTCAGATATACATAAATGTTCAACTGAAGTGAAGGCTCCCACAAGCCCGAATTAAATCAAGCTTGCAAATTTCCTTAGGTTATTTTTCATGGACCATGGAAAAGAGGTCTATACCCCTAGAAACAACAGATGAAAATAACCCAAACACAATAAAAATATTTTACTATAATCTCCCAGTCTTTCACAATGAAAAAGTAGAAACATAAGATCCAGTTACTCTACACCTTGTCTCTATTGTCTGTGAGTAGTTATCTACTACGGAAAGAATATAAAGAAATAAATAAAGGGACATTTCTGGTGGCATACCTGCCTCTAGAAATCAAGTTAAGAACTTTTTATCACTGAACAACTAAACCATAAATGTTTTTACAGATAAGAGGTCAGCTCCTAGCTATGGGTGCTGCCCGTTAAAATTCTTTACACATTTGACTTTCATATCACTTAACACTTAACTTAATAACTTCACCATTTCTGTTTTCTCTGTAAGTAATCATTTTATAATTTGAAAGCTGGAGACTAAACCCAGAAGAGCCCAAAAGGCTTGACAGAATCTTAAGGTAGAAGGAGAAAAAAATTCCTTTCCATATCATTATGATTTACTTCCTTATCCATTTTCCTTTAGTCATTGTGTCTCCCTCACCTCAGCTCCCCAACCTGAAGAGCAAAATAACACAAGATAGTTCGAGATAGCAAAAAAGCTGACCACTGGTGAACAGAGGTCTTCTGCCCAGGCTCTAGCACACACCTCTGCCAGCAATAATGTTCAAATGATCTCTCCATACCAAAACTGCAGGAAATTAGTACAATGAACAAAACAAAAAAAAAAACTAACAAAGAAAACAACAATCACGCCTCAAAAAAACCAAAACAAAACAAAAAAACCCCAAAAAACCAAACAAAAACAAAAACAACAAAAGCAAAACAAACAAACCCCTAACAAACCAAAGCCCAAATAAACAACCACATAAGAGTTTTTCTCCTGTGCTAAGCAAACTGAGTGAGCTCAGCAAAAGGTTGACTAGCATCAGAAACCAGAGAAGGAAATGAGATCTCCAAACTTAGAATCACTTTGATTTCTCAAGGGACTTCACCTCCAGTCTGCTTAGGGTGCAGAGTTGCAAGTGCTGTTCAAACTTCCAGCTGCTGCAGAAAGAGCCCCAAATTGACCTTGTTTCTCGCTTCACAAAGGCACCTACATTCTCACTCCAGTCCATATATATCAACGCTGTCATCTCCTGTAGTCACATCATTAGCAGTAGCAAGCAAATCTACCTCTTTGATCATAAGAAGGGCAGTTTATCTGAAATTGGACAGATGAAAAAATTATGTACAATGAGAGTTTTCTGCATGCATAATGAACTTAGGATCCTCTGTACATAAGACAAAAATTCTACCTTCTTCCACAGTCACAGACAGGAAATACTAATGGATGCCTAGAATAAAAGTGGTAAAATAGTACAAGGACAGAGCAAGCACATGCTGCTACTCCTAATGTTCCCCCAACATCCAGTAGCTGCTGACAGTTCAGATTCTACTAAGGTAGAAAGGCACCTGTGTGCTTAAGCCACCAAATACAGACTTCTTTCCAGTATTAGAAAAATCAACACAAGAAACATTTTCCTGGCTGGACTGAGCAAGCAGACCTCTAAAGAAGATGAGGGGAAATTGCTCAGTTTCACTACTGAGCAAATTCACTATGTCCTATTCACTAGGACAAGCATTTCTTCAGAACTAATGTTACCATTAACCACTGTACATGCTAATATGCCATGGATTCAGCCTACAATCACAGAGTGACAGTAGTGACTAGTAATGAGATATCTATGCTAACTTAGTTCAAACTCAGAAGTCCATAACAGTGTAGCTTTACAAGGCACAGCTTTTTTACTTCCAGTATAATAAACTTTTGATATAAATATTAGTATTAATATTAATAATAGTAATTTTTCTTTTAGTATAATGTATTAACACTATGCACAATTACAGGGCAAGTAATTCAGCAACTGCAGTAACACCGGCAATATGCTAATCACTACCTGCAGAGCTTAAAATATCAGGTCCCTAATCTGAACCTGTTATTTTAAAAATTTTACTTACACACACTCTTGTGTTCACAAAGGCTACATAAGAATACAAACTTTACAGATTAAAGGGCCCAAGAGAAAAAGCCAAGGAAGGATGAAGAAATACTTGACCCAGTTATGCAAACTGCCGTATTTTCTTAGCCATGAGAGCCTACTTTCTCATTTAGATAGGATAACAAGTTTATGCGCTTATTTTCTTCTTCTAGTGACAAAACCATCACCAAAGCTAAAATTTCTCTTTTAAGACTCAAGATGTAACAATACATGAGTATATATGCATAATTTTCAGCCCCCACTGCATCTAACGGCTTATAAAACGGTTAGATTTATCATAACATTTCAGGATAACTTTGCAAGCTTGGATTTTCTCAAGGATCACTACTGTAAAAAAGATGAAAATCCGATACATGATTTTCTAAGTCAGAAAATTATTTCAAGGTAAAAATTACTTGTAAAGTTCAAAATTTTTGTATCATCTACGTTACTACAAGTCTCTCTGAATCTTCAGGGCTTCACTTGTTCTTGCCTCTACAGAAAGTTGTAAATGCTAAGAAGCACAAGAGCTTCGGTTTTAGATTAGAACAAGAAGTGAAGTCTCTGATGTGGTAACAATTTGGGTTGCCAAAGATCTTCACTTTATAATCCAGGCATCATCTTCAGATAAGAAGATGTTGTTTTGGAGAAAAGAACACAGAAACTACTTCCTTCCCTGTAGGCCCCTCCCAGCTGGGAGTAACTGTAAGTGCTACAATAATGAGAAAAATTAGAATTGCAGTCATATTATGTGTGCAGGCACTTCACAAAGCATCAGAAAAATTTACCACAGTTAAAAGAAAAAACACTGAATGCTCTGGTCTTGAATGAGATTTCCACCTATATAATATATATAATTCAATAATACTTAAAATCAAGTCAGGATGGATTATGGTTGTTAGCATAGCTGTAATTCATCTCCTGCATAAAAAGCACTACCATAAATTTAATACCATTTTTTTAGATTTCCCATGGATCCACATTCTCATTCAACAGAAAATAATTCTTTATAACTGTTTTATCTACATAGGCGAGTATGTGGCTCACCATGAAGAAAAACAAAATCACTACAATATGCATAAAGCCACCAAACTGGTACTACCAAGCAACTGGAACTACTGTACCTCCAAACTTTTAACTGAAGGTTAAAAGCCACAGGTTTGCACATATTCTCACCCAAATGAAAATTTTACAAAAGGAAAAAAAGCTTTCCTAGGTAATATTGTATCATTAACAACACTTATGGTTGTAAACCTGCTTGAGCATGTTTTAATTTGCCAGCTAAAACGATAACATTAATAGATTATTATGGTCAGCATCGACATGCATAAGACAGTTTTGCTTAGGGGGCAGAATATAATGGTACGGGGTTTGTTGCTGTGAAGTTAAAGCTTGTATTGAAAAGAATTAGAGAAATAAGAAACCCGTCAAAAAAACCCCAAGGTTTGTTTCTAGACCTTCCAACTAATTATCCACGTGGGTAACTATGTATGCCACAGACAGTACCTCAGAAAACATCTACATGCAGGTGCGCTCTTTTCTCAAACCACATAAAGTAGGGGGTTTTATGTGGGAAAGAGACTATGTTAGTAAGTCTCAAAGAATTTAAGCAGTCTTCAAATGCAGGGCCAACTCAAGACTTTATGAATTATTTTACTCGCGAGTTCAGGATGTATTTTGTGCAAGAGAAGTATGAAGAACGCAAGGACTCCTGATGTCGGGAGCAGTACAAAAGGTACTTAAGACATATTTAAGTAGCTCTGGACCACAATTACCACACTTGGCTAACACTGAACCCAAATTTAAGACTTCAGGACTGAGCTGCTGATAACCCTAGGCAATTGCGCAGATGCACAATCTGCACTCTGAAAAGGGCTTGAGGAATCAGCTTGTATCCAACACACATTCTGTATATTCACTCTTGAATCTCTGAGCTCTCAGACGTGTAGTGTACACACATTAAATCGCTTTATCATGCTGACTCAGTGGAGTTGAGCAGCCCTGCAGATCAAACGAGATATCCTAGCCCTTCCCATTAATTGAGCTAACAAACAGTTGTTGCAGACAATCTTCTAATTATAACAAGAACAAAGAAGAGAGACCTGAGTTTCTCATCAATACATTGGTTCTATGAGTCACAGTGAGGATGTATGGCTAATGGGCAACATGCAAGAAAGCAGCCATTCTTCATATATGGTGGACAGAAGATGGAGAAGATTTCTGACTTACACTACAAAAAGCAAATTTCTTGAGAAACCAAGAACACAAATCAGTTTTGTCCTTGAATTAGCAATACAGTGAACAAGGAGTGAAAAGGAGTCCTTGCGTTCTTCATACTTCTCTTGCACAAAATACATCCTGAACTCGCGAGTAAAATAATTCAGTTTAAGAGAATTGTTCACATTTATATTTAAAATCAGACCAACAGTTTTGTGTAACTTGTAGAATTTCCTGTGCTTGGAGCAAGGGGAGAATCAGTGTAGACTGCTTTGCAGTATGATGCTATTTCACAAAGAGAAAAAATAGTATCAACACCAGTGCAGTGGGCAAATGAACAATTTTGTGAAGATACCAGTTTTAGAATGGTTAAATTAAGGGGAAAAAAAAAAAAGAAGGAACTGCTTCACAAAAAAATCAATACACTTTCCCCATAGGTTCATGATGTAAAATTCTATAATCAGGGCTTGTAGATTTGTAATTATGGTATGTCAGCCACATTTAAACAAGCATGTTAAAAGATTGTTAAAGTTAAACTAACACAATTGCAATGTGAATTGTCTTAGTCTCATTCTAATCTACTCGTGTCACTTCCACTTAATCAGATGGAAACTATGGGCAAATGTCAGTGCTATTTTCAGGCAACTCGACTTACTTTGTTTGTGAGGGTTTTTAAAATTATTTCCAATCTGAAATGCAAATAAGGTATTTTAGAAGGGTTTTTTTCTCTAATCAATTCTCTCACTATCCAGCAGGTATAGTGCTGGATAGGTATAGTGCTTAGTAAATCCAAGCAACTACCAAGCAGGTAGTTGCTTGGATTTACTAAGAGGAAAACTATTTTTGAAGCGATTGAACAAGAAGGATTGCTTGCTATGACATAAGCCACAAATACAGAAAACAGAAGTACTCTTGCTCATCAAATCTACTTCTTTTGAATTACAAACTATTGAAAGTATAAAATTACCGAGAGCCTATCAGATTTGCCAAAAGCAAAAGATCTCCCTATTTCTAGTTTAAATTTCTTTCACTGATACACAGCAATACAAGAAATGTGCAAGCAAGTAAATTACCTACAACCTAAAACACAGTCCCTTGAGAGGAGTACACAAAGAATTTATGACTTGCAGCAAAAAAATACCAAAGCAGAACAGTAGCTTCATTCTTAGCATGGAAAAAAAGTGACATGTTAGGTAACTAAGGAAAAAAAAAAAGCTACAACAGATGATTAGCACAAGTCAAACGAAATGTCTAAAAAGCTCTCTATATCCTGTTAGTTCTCAACCTCTACCTTTGTTGATATATTCTTAAAGCCTGAGCACTGAACATGGTTAGAAATCATTATTACATGCTAGATTCCATGTGATTTTCTAACCAGAAAACAGAAAAAAAAACCTAATGAAAATTAACTGAAGCGCTAAATCAGTCACTTTATAAAATGCTTACTAAGCCTCTATGCAATTCTTCTCATACACCAGGAAAAAAATGCCTATGGAGTTGTTCTAGTTCAAAATAAGAGGAAAACGTTAATGTTCCCAAGTTGACACAAGTCACAGGTATACCCACTGCAGCAGAATGCATAACTAGGCTTCTGGTTAGAGAAGGAAGGGTGGGGTGTGACAGAGCCATACCTCTTGCATCTGTGCGCAGCTGTCACAGACCGGGGAGCTGTTGCTGTATCATGTCCCCACAGGGAGTTAAGATAACATTCTTCTTCTCCCTTTTTTTTTTAAAGCTACCTTTACTTAGGGAATGACAGCTGCTGCAGAGTAACTGTAGATATGCCTGTTGCTACTACACAAAACACTCAAGTTTACTTGCTTATTCACATGGACATTCTCCAAAAGCAAATCTGGATCCTACTGACTGCATTTGTATGGTTTACTCAAACGTTTTCATCCTTTCTTTGTATTAGCTCTGAAATGCCTAGTTGTGTGGTTTGCTCCTACACTCAGAGAAATTCTGAAGTGCCTTACCCAACACCAACAGTGAGTGATAACTTTTCTAGTCTTCAAGTCTGACCTTTCAAAGTGAATCAAATATAAGAAAATGTGCATATCTTACTGACAGGAATTTGCAAAGTCATAACATAAAGCTGATGATATAAAATTGCACTATATAACATCCAGCACACACACTAATTCTTGTCTCTGCCTGAGACAGCAGTCTTTGTAGCCTTCATAAACCCCAGCATGACCAGTGTTTGTAGCAAGAGCGATCCCGACAGACACACTTCTCGTAAAAACTACGACTCCGTTGCAACCAGGGAAGATCAAGGCTCTGGTGAAGAATCTACCAGAAATGACCAGGGAGATGGTGGAGTCCCCATCCCTCGAGATGTTTTAAGAAAGAATGGAGTACTATGGTCTAGTTAACAAGGTGGTGATGCCCGGCCATAGGCCGGACTCGATGATCTCAGTGGCCTTTTCCAACATAAATGCTTCTCTGATGCCACTTGGTTCTGCAGCTTCTGAACCAGAAATATTCAACAGCAGGTTTGGTAAAAAAAATAAAACAAAAACCAAATCTGAGGCTTCATACCTCGGCAAGGTATGAGGCGAGACTGTCTTGCACACCGAGGGGGCTTAGGTGACTACCCTCGACTCCCAAAGACTCTAAGGAAAGGGAACGAAACCGCATTTAACCGAGTCTCAGAAAAGCGCGGCCTGTTCCCGACGGCGGTACGCGAGGGATGGAAGCCCGCACCAGGGCCGCTCTCCGGCACAGCCCGCCAGTCCCGTACAGCACGCGGGCCCGCGGCCGGCCTCGTACGGAGCCCCGCTGCAGTCCCTCGGCCCGACCGTGCAGGGCCGTGCCGCGGCCGCCACTCACCGCCTCACGACGCCAGTCTTAATCTTGATCTGCCTGAGGCGCGGGTCGGCCATTGCGGCGGGCGCCGTGACTGGGCAGCCCCGCGCCGCGCATGCGCCGAGCCGCCAGTCCGGGCGGCACCACAGGAGCGGGCGAGAGCGCCACCCTCCCCCCCTGCCCCGCGCAGTGGAAAGGGCCGGGCAGCGGGGCGGTGCCGTCCCGGCGGAGCCGCCCAGCGCCGGTCGGGATTGTTCGCGCACGGGGAGAGAGGTGGGAGCGGAACCTCAGTACCGGTGTCGGAGTCGGTACTCGGTTCCGGTCGGTACCGTGATGGTGGTGGGCTGGACAGTGACCGGCACCACCCACTCCTGACCACTAATAACGGGGTTCGCATGATTAACGCCATTTCGCAAGGCAAGCAGACATTCTCTGGTGCTGTGTTCTGCGCTTTCCCCCCATTATCAGGCCCTGAAAGTACTGTGCGCCAAGGATACAAACCAAACAGATTTCTTTTTCCCGTTCCACTGGCCTCAAGGTTCCTCGGCACCAGGCCGAACTCCGCTCCTTGCCCTCCTGCATATCCCGACACCCGGCCAGCCCAGTGCTGTTCATGACCCTGTTGCAGCACTGAGAAGCTGCAGCTCTCAGAGCAGCGTCTGCCTGCAGCCCCCTAGCCCTGCCTGCAGCCCCCCAGCTCTGCCTGCAGCCCCCAGCCCTGCCTGCAGCCCCCCAGCCCTGCCTGCAGCCCCCCAGCCCTGCCTGCCTGCAGCCCCAACGCTGTCTCTCTGTCACCTTTGACAGGTCCTGAGGAAGAACAGGGACCAGAGCTGTCACTGGACAGTGAGACCTGGGACATCCCAATGGCCAGGGACACCTCTGCCTTCATCTGCTTCCTCTGAGGATTGAGGGAGCGACTCATGTTCTTTTATATGATTTTTGAGTCTAGATTATGATTGTTATATTGATAGTATAAACAGTATACTGTAATCCAACCCCATCTGCAGAGGGTCCATGTGAACAGAAATTATACATGAAATTGTATTTAAAAAATGTATATTTTACTACTTTTTACTGCTTAGAGATTGCAGTAAAATCACTGATTTGACAAGAGACAGCTGAGAGGACACCATACATGAGACCTCATACATGTCTATAAGTATCTAAAAGGAGGGAGCCAAGAGGATGGATCCAAGCTCTTCCTGGTGGTGCCAAGCAGTAGAACAAGAGGCAGTGGGCAGACACTGATGCACAGGAAGTTCCACCTGGACATGAGGAAGAACTTTATTGTGCAGTGACTGAGCAGAACAGATTGCCCAGAGAGGGTGTGGAGTCTCCCTTCCTGGGGATAGTCAATAGCTGTTCGGACACAATGCTGTGCCGTGTGCTCTGGGATGGCCCTCTTGAGCAGGGACCAGATGACTGACTCTGGTCCCTTCCACCCCAACCCTTCTGTGTGTAGTTCTATTAATAGAAATCCTGTGTTATTCTTGTAATAAATTCTGTGCTCTACTAATAATGAAATTTTGCTAAGGAAAATAAAGCTTAAATTGTTAATCTGTTGTTTAATGGTTAAGCTAAGTATTAAACAGTACAACTTAGTGTTGTCATAGTTCTGCCAAGGATCTCTAGAAGAACCTGTCTTTCCCCTTATTGTCTGGTGGTTGGTAAAAGCAAGAAAGAGGCAAGATTAGCACTGGCAGCTCAGTCCTGCAGTTGAAATCAACTGCTGGTTCAAGGGCTGTTTTCCTGTATGGTTATACTTAGTAGAGGCTAACCACTTAAGGGCATAAATTCCTGGGGAAAAAAACAACCCTAGTGTCTGTGTTTGAAAGAACTTCTCCTGAATGAGTATTTAAATCAACAAGACAAAAAAAATAATAGCTTCAATGAACAAATAAAGGCAAATACATTTTCAGTGAAATGCAGCTCAGGAAGGTCTGCAGAGGATTTTTTTTTCCCCCACGTCCTTTTATCCTGTGTTAGTGGCTTGCCTGGACCTTTGGTACTGCCAGTGACCAATATCTCTTGAGAAAAGCTGGCTGCAAGGAAGGAAGTCATGTTGCTCCTGGTGACAGGACAGTTGCAGGTCATTAGCCAGCAGCTGTGGCCAAGTGGCTGGCACCACCAGGCTCCGTTCAGACATGGTATAAGCAAGGCTGAGACTGCTCAAAACCACAGAGCTCTGTGTTATCTGCAGAGGAGGGTGAAAATGAGCCCTCTTACAGAGCCCAACAAGCCTTCCCAAGAGACCTGGAACACACAGCCTTTGCTTGGTAGATTGTTGCTGAACGGAGATGCAGGTCTCAAAATCAGCACTAGCTTAATGCCATGAACAACTATGACCTGGAGACAAGTTCGAAGATGTATTATGTGTTTGATACACAAATCTGCCATAAGCCGTGCAGGAGGTGGAGGAAGGAGGTCAGCATTCTGGCAGAGACAAAGTAAAATGCAGCCCCTTATTTTGCCAGAAACTCAAATCTTACTATTCTGTCTTTAGAAAGTTGTATCAAGTCATGCTGGGGCTGAAGCTGTTCTCTAAAAATTCCAAGGAAACACAGTTATACTGCATACTCCTTGAAAATACAGAAGTCTTCAAATAAAGCTGAATTGCCACCATATACCTACACATAAATTTTTTTCCAAGAATAATCTTCAGTGTCATTTCTATATTTGGCAAAGTTATTCAATAAGTGAGAAGGCTAACAACAGATAACAGTACAAAACCAAAACATTGCCTGGAAGCAGCAATATTAAGAAAATTACTTGTGTTTCCAAGCGCTAAAAAGGTTTTATTTCTAGCCCTGAAGCTTTAACTTGCATTACTAACAGCACTTAGGCTCAACAACTGAATTTTAGAAGTAGAATGCAACTGTTTTCTTACAGGTAATTCACTTAACTAAATAGATGACAATATACAAAATCTGTGTTCATGTTTAAGCATATTTGATGATAATGTGAAAAAGATGTTAGTGGTGGATCATGGAGTATACTGTAAGATGTGACAGAAAGCAATGTACTTTGCTATTAATATGTGTTTGTATTAATAACTGAAAATTATTAATTAACATTTAAAACCCCAGTAATTTTATTTCTAAGGCTATGGATATTGGGATATTCAGGGAAATATGTATAATGTTTTTCAGGAAAGACACTCCTTTTTAAGTAAAGATGTGTGTGGGGAGTTTGTTTTCCAGAAGTCCTTTGAAACAATTTTTAGCCTAATCAGTCAGAGAGACATTTCCATGTGAATTAATGATGTTACACTGGAGTTGAATACAATCCTTTACTTGAAGACTGTGAATCCTGATGTACCTTTTGGATGGTTGAGAAACTATCAATCCTTCAATGATTTTTGGCAGCATTCTGCTTGTGTTGCATCTGGTTGAAGGTTTTTCATAAGATCTATTAGCCCTAGTCATTATGAGAGCACTGCTGCATAGAGGCAGGTGCCTAAACATAATTTGCTGATGATGTAGCTATGCTGACATACAGAGCAAGTCGTTCTGTGCCTGGGACCCTTAAACATATCTTTACATACTCCCCTGTATTGCACCTTCCCAGCAGCTCATGTGTAGAGCTGCACTTGCTGTGAATATGACTCCCTCTTCTCTGACCAGCGTCACCTGGTCATTCCAGCTTCCATCTGGCTCTGCAAATGCAGTATTTTCAAGGCAGTTTGTTACGTGTTTTGTACAAATTTACTTTAGTGGGGGTAATTGTTACTGCCACTATGCTTTCTGTGTAAAAAAATTCCATCTAGATTTTGTTTATTTCTTGTCAATAAGAACACATACAGTAATTATTGCTCTTTCCCATTTCACGGAAGCAGCTAGTCAGCCTGATGAGCTCAAATGTCTGCACACATAAACAA